ATTTTCGCCTTGCCACTGCAGCCTGGCAATCCAAGGGCCGGTTCCGGTCCCACTAATCTAGCTGAAGAGCCGCTCCTTACTAGCTCATTAGCGACCTCGTTCCCCTTGATTCCCGCGTGCCCCGGGACCCACACGAGAGCAACGTCATTGCCCGCGGCCAGCCTGTTCAATGCATCCTTGCCCTCCCATCCCAGCCGCGAGTCAAAGACGCACGCCCCCAGCGCCCCTAGAGCCGCTCTGCTGTCTGAGCAGATCCTGATACGCCTGCCCATCTGCCCAGATGCAATCAGCATTTGAGCACAGCTCATGATTGCCACCACCTCCGCTTGAAAAACCGTGGTGAACTCTCTGAGGGGAAGAGCTTCCCTAAAGCCCCCACGGCTTCCAAAGACCTCGGCACCGGCGCCCTCGTCAGTTTTGGAGCCATCCGTGTACCAGACGTCCCCATTCCTGATAACGAGCATCTCGTGCCTCTCCCACTCCTCACGACTAGAAAGATAGATCTTGAAAGATCTATCAAAGTCGCGTTTTCTCGGCATCCTATCCTGCCTCATATCCAACACGGTTTCCATCTGGATATCCCGTGGTAGCCGGGTGTGGCCCACCCCGATCGTCCACTTGCCTTCACACTTCAACCTGTACGTGGCCACTGCTGCCACCACTTTCGCAAGATGGAGTGGTTCGATGCCGAGCAGCACTCCCATTGCTGCCACCGGCGTTGTTCTCATTGCTCCCAAAGCCCCTCTTAAAATAAGAGCCCTGACGCGTTCCAGCATTGCCCGAGCCTCCGCTAGCTGTGTTCTTGGCCACCATACCACAGCACCATACCAAAGCAGTCTAGGCCGGAGCACAGCCGAGTATAGCCAAAGCACCCTGTCCGGCTGAAGTCTCCAGGTTTGCCCAAAGGTTCTTCTGCACGTCCAGAAATATGTGCAAGCGTTCCTACACACCGCCTCTAGGTGCAACTTCCAATTCAGTCTTTTATCCAAGATAACTCCTAGATACTTGACTGACGTCTCAGGAGTCAGTCTGACCCCTTCTAAAACAGGCCCCTCTACGGAGCCCCTTTTGTACTTGTGGGTGAAGATTACCAGACTTGTCTTATTCGGATTAATCGATAGACCCGTCCTCTTACACCATTCTTCCACCACCCCCAGAGCCCCTTGTGTGAGCTCAAGGAGCGTTTCTAGGAAAGGGCTTCCTAACAGGATCGCCAAATCATCAGCATATCCGATAGCCTTGAAGTCCTTATCATTAAGCTTCTTCAAGCAGCTGTCCGCTACCAAGCACCATAGGAGTGGCGAGAGGACCCCTCCTTGGGGGCAACCTCTCCCCATCCATCCTTCAACACTCACTGTTCCTAGTGATGTCGTCACTTGACGTCCAAGCATTCCTTGGATCCACTTCACCAGTTTCACCGGAACGCCCCACCTTGCAGCCTCAGCACACACAGTTTTGTGTGGGGTGTTGTTGAAGGCCTCTTCAATATCCAAGAAGGTGCCTATCAAAAAGCCCCCTTGCTGAAGCTGCTTCTCAATCCTGTGGACAACCGAGTGAAGAGCCGATATGCTCGAGTGGCCATCCCGGTAGGCGTGCTACTTTGCATGCAACGGATACCGAGCCAGCACACAATCCCTGATGTAAACATCGACCAGCTTTTCCAATGTCTTGAGAAAGAACGAGATCAAGCTGATCGGTCTGAAGTCCTTCGCAGTGACATACTCCGCTCGCCTCACCTTGGGGATGAAGACGACTCTCGCCTCCCTCCACGCTTGGGGGGTATACCCGAGGGTCAGACATGCTCTCAACACCTTTGTAAGGGGCCCGATAACCTGCCCTCTCTGAAGGAGAGCCGGGAACACCTGATCGAGCCCCGCCGACTTAAAAGGTCGGAAAGAGCCAATCGCTCATCTGACCCTTGTTGGCCTCACAATTTCGGCCGCTAGTTTCCAATCGCTGGCACGTGCCCTGAAGGGGCCCATGTCAGCCTCTCCGCACCTATCCGCATCCCTCCGGAAACCAGGAAAACTAGTCTCCAGAAGATGCACCAGGCATTTCTCTCCAGATGACGTCCGACCATGGTGCCGTCCGACATTCGGACCGCTTCCAACGCTGCCTCCGGGTTCTTGGATAGAAACCTGCAAAGCCTGGTGGTGGCTGGCATGCCCTCCACCGACTCGCAGAAGTCCCTCCAGCTCTTCCTCTTCGCCTCCACCACAGAGTCTCTGTACTCCTTCTGGGATCTCTTGTAAAGAGATCCCAGTCGGAGGGCCGGCCCGTGTTCCTCGCCTTGTTCCAAGCTCTTCGAGCCTTGATCCTAAGACCCTGCAGTCGTGGGTTCCACCAGGGAGTTCCTCTGTTGTTTGTCACCGTGCTGGCCGGGCAGTTCGCTTCGTAAGAGCCAATCAGAGCCCTCTGCAGATAATCCACACAGAGCTCCAACTCTTCCGCCGTGCCGTACCTCTTGGGAAAGTCCCTGAGCTTAATTCCCAGGTCCCTCTGATAGGATACCAAGTCCGTCCTCTTTGGATTTCTCACCTTCTTTACCTCCACTTTGAGATCTGAAAGTCTAAAGGTTATTAGCCTGTGGTCGGAGAGCGAGGGCTCATTCGACACCTTCCATTCCCTCACCTTCCGCACGAATCCAAGCGAGCAGAGAGTGAGATCTAACACCTCACTTCTCCCCGCCGTGCAAAAGGTGGGTTTATTACCTCTGTTCAGAACTTCCAGGTCAGTAGTTACCAGGTACTCCAGCAACCTCCTTCCCCTTTCGTTCGTTCCAGTGCTTCCCCATATGGTATGATGCACGTTGACGTCGCATCCTATCAGTAATGGCAGTCCCTCACTCTGGCAGAGATCCACCAATTTGACTATCTCCAGCGACGGCACCTCTTCTCCGTGCGGGAAGTAGACCGAGCAGATGACGAGCTTCCTGGCATCCCCAGCGCTGCCAACCGTTGTCACCTCCACCGCCATCAGGTCCCTGGAACATACTTCAGGCAGGAGCCGTGCATCCAGCCCCTTAACCGTTATGCACGCCCTAGGCCTCTGTCGGTGGGAGCTTTAAAGAGCTTCCCACATGCTGCCACCCCCCTGACACATCCACGGACAACCCATGGTTCTTGTATCAAGGAAATGGCTGTGTGCATCACAGACTGGCGCCTGGCTAGAACCGCCGAGGCTCCTTTGCTGTGATGCAGGTTAATCTGGGTAACCTCTATCACCGATCAGCCCATTGTACGAGCTAGTCTTTAGATCGAGGCTCCTCCTTGCTCCCCCCCCTCACCATGAGATCGAGTCACCTTAACGATGATCTGCTCGATCCCATAGCATAGCTTGGAGTCCCGCCCCCTCAGCTTGAGGACGCTGGACTCCAAGATGCCGAAAACATAGTTCCTCCCCTCCGGGGAAGCACCCACGTTTTCGGTAAATACGCGCCAGTTCAGAGCGCCGATGCCCGGATTCTGCCTCTCCAACAGCGCCAGGACAGCAGCCGCAGGCCTCGGAGGACCCGGAACCCAGACTACTGCCCT